AAATTGACTTCTACATCCCTTCATTTACACAAGTGTTTCTTGTCTTCTAGCACTGACTTCAAAGAGGATTGTTCTACTCGGAAAAACTGGGGCTGGGAAAAGCAGCCTGGCCAACACCATACTGGGAGAGAATGTCTTCAACGTATGCCATTCACCCGTTTCTGAAATAAGTCTGCCCCGTTTAGTAATTAAGTCTGTAAATGGAAATAACATCAGTTTTATTGACACTTGCAGTGTTTTTGACACAGGCATGTCTGAGCAATTACTCAGGGATGAGATAGTGAGGTGCATGACAGAGTGCGCTCCTGGACCTCATGCTTTTCTCATCGTCCTTAAAGTGGAGAAATTTACACAGCAGGAGCAAGATGTAATCAAAAAAATATGTCAAGATTTCTCTGAAGATGCTATGAAATACGCTGCCGTTGTCTTCACTCATGGCGACCAGCTCCCAGAGGGAATGGGAATCGAGGAATTCATCAGTCATAACAAAGAGCTCAGCAATCTGGTGGAGAAGTGTGGAGGCAGATGCCATGTTGTTGATAATAAATACTGGAAAAACAACAAAGAAGATGACTACAGGAGCAATCGGTTCCAAGTAGCAGAGATACTCAGGACAATAGACAAAATAAGTGAGGCAAACAATGGAAGCTGCTACACCAATGAGATGTTGCAGACGATAGAAAGTGAACTACAGAAAGAGGAAGAGCTTATTAGAAAGTCATCAGCAAACATGTCGGTTGAACATATTGCAATCGAAGCTAAAAAGGGTGTGATGAACAAGCTGCTGATTATATTTGCAGGTACAGCAACAGGCGTATTGGTTGGAGCCTTTCTTGGTGTGGCAAAGATGGTCACATCAACTTTTTTGAATCTGCAGGAGCACAAAGATGCAACAGTATCACTGGCTGCACAGAAAGGGTTAGTAGAGGGAGGTCGGTTAGGATATGCTGCAGCTGAACAATCAGAAAGTGCATCGGAAGCCATTCAGAAAGCTGCTAAAGCTGTCCTCGAATATACTGTTAAATGATGGTTAGGATCATGACAACGACAGAGAGTGGACAGCAAAGAGAGCAGAGATAGGAGTGTTGTTTTCTGATGTCTTGTGTAATTACGTTATAAGTAGAGATAGTGGCAGTAGAGGAACTATTTAGGTATTTAGTCAAGGAAAAGTAGCATTTGCTAAACACTTACACCACTTTGTTCGAGTTAAATAGTAGCAAGTAGAGAATAATTTTCTTTATACAATTGGTTATAGACGCTGATGCATCTATCAAAGTACATCAATAAACACAGATGTAAAACAATATATTTGTAAAAAATTATATTTGTGGGTATTCACTTCTTAATCATTTCTGTCAGCTGTAAGCAGAATTATAAATTACTATGAATTTGAAAAAATATTTTAAGCAACTTATAAATAAACACACATTTTAAGACCTTCAGGAGTGAACTTGTGTAAATGCTTTGATTTAAACTTGATTATGTCATACTACAATTCAATGAAACAGGTACATATTAAATGGAAATGTATATATCTGAATTTCTTTCTTTTCTTTTCTTTTCTTTTCTTCCAGCAATAAAAAAAAA